ACGGTGGCTCACGCCTGTAATACTAGCACTTTGGGAGGCCAAGGCGGGAAGATTGCTTGCGTTCAGGAGTTGGAGACCCCATCCCTACAAAAAATAGAAAAATTAGCCAGGTGGTGGTGCATGCCTGTAGTCCCAGCTACTTGGGAAGCTAAGCTAGGAGGATTGCCTGAGTCCAGGAGTTTGAGGTTGCTGTGAGCTACAATCCGGCCACTGTATTCCGTCTGGAGTGACAGAGCAAGAATCTGTCTCAAAAAAAAAAATAAATAAAATCTAAGGTATACGTTAGGATTGGCGTGCCCTTCAACAACTTCTGCTTCATCTGTACTGTGATGAGAGTGATGTTTAGGGAAGGTCCTTTCTAAGTTTATCTCAGCAAAAGTGATTTGGAAACATTCCCACCAGAATTGAGATACATGTTTGGGTTAAGCTTGAAATAGGCATTATTTTATTACACTGTTCATTACTCAATTTAACTTGTGGGGGTTGGGCTTTTGTCTTTTATGTTTATTTCGAGTTTATGGACAGTGTGTGTGTATCTGGTCAGAAAGTAGCTACAAGCCAAATGTTGCAAGATCTCACTTAAAATCATGTTTTCTTGAATGTCCACAAGTGGTTTTCTTTAAGGTCACTGTTGGAAACAGTCCCTCCCCATTTCTAAGACTTAATTTATTTTTGTGGAAGGGAGAATGAACGAAGGTGTTTTTCATGCTGAAAGGCATGGGATTTAACAAGTTTTTTTTTTTTTTTTTGAGACAGAGTCTCACTCTGTTGCGCGGGCTAGAGTGCCGTGGCGTCAGCCTAGCTCACAGCAACCTCAAACTCCTGGGCTCAGCAATCCTACTGCCTCAGCCTCCCGAGTAGCTGGGACTGCAGGCATGCGCCACCATGCCCGGCTAATTTTTTCTATATATTTTTAGTTGGCCGATTAATTTCTTTCTATTTTTAGTAGAGACGGGGTCTCGCTCTTGCTCAGGCTGGTTTCGAACTCCTGAGCTCAAACAACCCGCCCGCCTCGGCCTCCCAGAGAGCTAGGATTACAGGCGTGAGCCACCGCGCCCGGCCAGGATTTAACAAGTTTTGAATCTGCCACCTTCCCCTACAGCTGAACTTTGTTTCTTGGCTGGGGAGAGGCACAATAGTGGTGTTGAGTTGGATTTTGGGACATAGCCTGTTTTGGGTACAAGTCTAAGGCATGGAACACCTTTCACTGGTAGAGGTTTTGGGCAGCCAAACATTGTATCATGAAAACAGACACCACAGATTTAAGGAGGTGTGAATTCCTGGGCACCAGCAGGTCACAAATTGGACTTAAACTGCCTGACTTCTTTACCCAGAAGCAAGCTGACTGCTTCTCAGTTTGAAGTCACCAAGTGGCACCAATTCTAGCGAGAAATTTCTTATGACAACATTTAGCTCTCAGTAAGGGATTTGCTATTTTGTTAACCACTCGTGTCAGTTGCTTATTTGAGGGGGACACAGGCAGAAACAACTGTAAGCCATCAGCAGGCCATGCTCGGCCCTCTGGGGAGCACCCGAGGGCAACCTCTGCTCGTCTTGGGGTTTCGGGCACCTCTGTTACATGGGAAGGTCACAAGGCCAGGGACCTGGCGCCTAGATGTGGAAATGGGGAAAAGAAGCAGGTGGAGAACTTTGGCTTGTTTTTGGCTGGGGCCAAATAATCTGGCACACTGGGCAATCCTTGTTTGCCTCCTGGAAGAAGGGTCTGAAACCACAGCACATGCAGCACAGAGAGGGCTGGGACAGAAGGGAGGTGGAGAAAGTAGTGTTATAACGAATTTTGGGAAGTTTTTCAAAATTAACTTGACCATTCTTTTGAAACTAGAGTCCTTAACAAGCATTGAGATATATTTCTCCATGAAGGCCTAACGGTGAAAATCGGAGACTTTGGTTTGGCAACAGTCAAGTCGCGCTGGAGTGGTTCTCAGCAGGTTGAACAACCCACTGGCTCTGTCCTGTGGATGGTGAGGAACCTAGGCTCCCACTAGCAGTGTTCAGGTACAGGGCGAAAAGAAATGCCCCGGAGCTCTGTGCACGCTTAAAGCATTCCTGTTTGTTTCCCCAGTGTCCAGGTGACCCCCAGTGTCAGCTAGCCTGGGGCAAATGTGGATTTCCCCGAGGAAGGTGAAGGTTAGAACCATTCTGAAGCTTAGCGTGGATAGGAGTTAGCAAGCTGGGTGACGGAAGTGCAGGGTCCTGGTCAAATAGGATTCCTGAGCTGGCTTTAGCCGGTGCCTGAGAGTCAGAGTCCTCTGGGGAAGAGGAATGGACTCTTTGATGGGACAGCCTGTCCCTGGATGTCTGTTGGGCCCATCACATGGTGCTGAATGCACTTTGTCCCTGTAGGCCCCAGAGGTGATCCGAATGCAGGATAACAACCCATTCAGCTTCCAGTCTGATGTCTACTCCTATGGCATCGTGTTGTATGAGCTGATGACGGGAGAGCTTCCTTACTCCCACATCAACAACCGAGATCAGGTGAGTCTGCCTGGCGCCTAAGGACCAAAGTTGTGGGCTTCCTGCCAACCTCAGCAGCAAAAGGGTTAGGAGTTGTTACTGTCTGTTCACTGATCCATTTGCTCAGCTGTTTTCTTTCCCTTAGATCATCTTCATGGTAGGCCGAGGGTATGCCTCCCCAGATCTCAGTAAGTTATACAAGAATTGCCCCAAAGCAATGAAGAGGCTGGTAGCTGACTGTGTGAAGAAAGTTAAGGAAGAGAGGCCTCTTTTTCCCCAGGTAAGCCTTAACTCAGGGGTGCTGGGACTGGATTAAAGCGAGAGTTCTTAATGATAGCAGTAAGGGGGAGGTATTGTTTTATAGGAAGGGGACCCGTGTCCTCCAGTAGATGGGGAGGTGATACAGCCTGTGTCTTTGGACTCCTGATTGAAAGCTGCTGCTGAGAAAGCACCAAGCCCCAGCTAATAAGACCATTCTGGGCCTTGTTTCAGATCCTGTCTTCCATCGAGCTGCTCCAACACTCTCTGCCGAAGATCAACCGGAGCGCTTCTGAGCCATCCCTGCACCGGGCGGCCCACACTGAGGACATCAATGCTTGCACGCTGACCACGTCCCCGCGACTGCCTGTCTTCTAGTTGACTTTGCACCTGCACCCAGGCCGCCAGGGGAGGAAGGGAGGTCAGCAGGCACCACTCTTCTGCCCTTTCTATGGGGCAGAGCACGTTTTCAGAGAAGCTGCTGCTAAGACCTTCTAGACTGCTCACAGGGCCTTAACTTCACGTTGCCTTCTTTTCTACCCCTTTCGGCCCTGGGAGAGGGAAGCCATTCGAGACGCTGGTCTGTCCTGCTCCCTCCCCGCATGCCCCATGCTCAGGGCCCGACCTCCAGATGTACACATGGATGCTGATGGCAATACAAAAGCTGGGGCCCCAGCTGTTGGCTAATTGAGTACTTTTAGGGGGAAGTAAAGGTAGCAGGCAGTCCAGCCCTGATGTAGGGACACGTGGGACTTTGGAAATCAGCTTCTGGAGGAATCCGTATGACATGAGGGACTTTCTTCAGAGATAGTGGTGCAGCACCAGACATTTTGCACATAATGCACGCACCAAGCAGCCCAGGACTGCTGAGATTCCGGCCGCCTGAAGGAGCCTGCTTGTACTATGGACCTTGGGGACGCGTCCTCCTTTCACAGCCTCTGAGGTGTCTAGTGCATTGGGATGGTTTTCCGGGTGAGGCGCTTGGCCTGCCCTCCCCGTCTCGGCCCTCCCAGGGAGCAGTCTTCCATCATGCTGAACTTCGTCTTCCAGGAGCTGCCCCTATGGGGTGGGGCTACAGGGCCAGCCTTGTTGCTCTAGTCACCATGTGGACGCAAGGAAGCCAGGAGCACAGGTTTTCTTGATGATTTGGGTTTTAATTGTTTTTATTGCGCCTGACAAAATACAGTTATCTGATGGCCCCTCAATTATGCTATTTTAATAAAATAAATTAAATTTAGGTCTAATGGCTATTACCTCCTTTTCAGGTGATACTGAGCTTACAGTTTCAGCCCTCCCTCTGTTCACACCCTTGAGCAGAAGTCAAGAAGCAGAAAATGGGCCCAGAGCCTCAACTGGGAATGAATTTTATTTAGCCTTTGTCTGTTATTTATAATCCTTTACTGAAGAGCTAACTAAAAAAATTAATGCATTTTATAAAATATTTGGTATTATCTGGTAGTTTTTCTTTTTTACAAAAATAGATGCTAAATTCAGGCTTGGAACGAGTTTGTTCTGGTTCACAAGGTTGTACCTGCTTTCGGTCTGGATGGATCAGAAACCTCCCTGGGTGCTGTGAAATTTTTTACAAAATTCCTAATTAAAGCCTGGTTTTACAGATAAGAATAGATGGCTTGAGTACGAAGCACACGTTTCATAAACACACGTGTGTTCTGAGCCCTCAAAACAATGACCCTGATGGGCACAAGCCCACGGGTGAGAGCGGGGCCGCCTCTGCTCCAGGCCCCAGCACCAACCAGACGGGAGGGCTGGACTGCTACGTCCCCACCCAGTACTTCTCCTTAACTTCAAGAACCTCCCTAACAGGGAAAAAGATTTACACTTTCACTTTTTTTGCTGCAAATATGGCAACAAGACTACTCAGAAGAATGACTATCCTTAAAGCCTTTAGTAATGTTTTATGCCACAGCTGTGCAGGGCTCACTTAACATTGTATGTTCTTGGGAAAGCTCTGTACAAATCAAAAAAGATTTTTTTCCAAGCCCCCTAACCAACATAAATCAAAATTTTAACCACACACTATTTAAATACACTTAGAGAAATTCACCATAGAGGAATCCTTTTATAGGGTTAAAGATCCTTTGGTAAGAAAAAGCTGCTTATTAAGGGCAGGGAGAAAAAGATCAAAAAGGGCAAGAGCCAGGTTTTCTAGAAGCAATCACTCAACAGTCTGAATGGCTAGCTGGTCCCCCTTGAGGAGCTTGAAGTATAACTAAGTATAACTATAAAAATAGCAATTTCATACACTTATTAGGTTATTTTATATCCTTCACGCTTCCCATGCCTGTAATAACGGAGAGAGGATGAGCTGGAGGGTAGGTACACCCCACTCAAATCCATGCCACACGCCACCTCCAGCTGCAGCACAGGGAAGCTCAACACCTCCTGGCTGGGGAAAGTTTTGGCCGGCAGAGCCCAAGATGCAGGGGTGACCATTTACTCTTTAGGTTTCTGATGACTCCACTCCAGAAAGGTGCATGAAGAGGTCACCAAGTTCTGTCACGTCAACATCTTCAGTGTTGGGGACATGCCGGCTTTCTCGGTTCTCGATGAAATCCCAGAGCCGCACTGAATTAAAGAACTGCAAAACAGCCAGCAAACATGCCAGGTTACTGCTAAGACAACATGAAAGCTGTGTAGCTTGACTTATTTTGTCTACCCCATTTCTGTTGCCAGAGATACTAGAGAAGGGGCCAGGAACATTGCCTGGAAATGCCCACTGCTCAGTGTCCCTAACCAGAGAGAGCAAAGCTCTTACCCTCACGCTGCCTTCAGAATCGAGTTGTTTCCGAGGTTTCTCGGGCTCCGCTAGCCGCCCGTCAGGGTAAGCATGGCGATAAAGGCATTTGCTTCCAAATGGGCAGGTCCCCCTTCCTTGCTCAAAGTATTTACAAGCTTTTCTTCTGAAAAGCAGAAAGAAAACGTCAAGAGGCTGGTTGGGAGAATGTGGGGTCCAGATGGGCCACTGCCTTCATCCTCACCTGTGATGCCAGAGGGAGGTCAGCCTTGTTCTAGGTGGCGAAACAGAGGTGCGGAGAGGTTAAGTGATTTGTGTCAGGTCGCGCACAGCTGGGATTCTGATTTCCAAGCCGGATAATATCCCCACTGATGCGCAGCCTCACACATGATGTGAACCTGCCCAGGGACTCGCAGTGTGTGGAGCCTGTGGGCCCTCCAGGAGCCCCTGCGCAGAGGGCTAAGCCAGGCCTGGTCACTCCTCTGGGTGCTGAGGTCGGAAACTGGCTACTTGTTTGCACTCAAAGTTCCCAAGGCGCTCCACTCAGGCAAGTCTCCCTTCCTCCTGGCCAGCAGTGCTGTGAAGGCGACTACAGGATGCTGGGACTTCAGAGTCCCAGGGAAAGCAGTGGATTGTAGCAGCTGCCTAAAGCTACAGTCTCATTCTAATTTTCCTTTGTCCCCACTCTCTGGAGTAGGGCTTCTTAACTCTTCATGTGCTCTGGGCCTCAGAACAGTGTTTTTGAATGCATAAAACACACAGGTCTACAAAATACAGTTATCAGAAAGTTCAAAATTTTTTCCCTCTCTCTGAATTCTACCCACAGACCCCTATGTTAAGAACTCTACTCCTGAGGAAACTCAATCAAAGAATTCCCATTTCTTCTTGCTCGAATGAAATTTGGCTCATCCAGAAGAGATGCCCAAGAAACCAGAGGGCCATCTGGGAGTACCGAGGAAGGGGAAGTTGTGGAAATAAGACAGCACAGCAGGCGTGCAGGCTACTGCCGAGGCAGCTGGGGTGTGTGAAGGCGACAAGGAAGGGGGTGGGGGACTCCCCAACTCCAGCAGCTTTCTGTCTTCTCAGAGAAGCCAGTGGTGCATTCTGAGACAGACTTCAGGGCAGGATAAAGAAAAGCTCCCTGGTGGCTGTTGTCATTAGAGCACAGGTGGCCAGGGAGTGGCTTCAAGCAGAGCAGGTGTGTAGACTGACATCTTCCTGCCCATCTGCCCGAGGTTCTCTGCAGACCTCAAATGACCACTTCAAGATTTCTGCCCCAGAGTCTACTGGACAACTCTAGGGCATCCCAGGGCACTTGCTTTAGTAACCTCATCAAGTTAAAAATATTATTCTCTAGCCCCCCATGATAATTGTTCTTTTTCTTCCCCCAGCTATAGCTGGTCACCAAGGCCAAAAGCCTACCATTTACTGACTCCCTCTTTGTTAGTTCTCTCAACTGTGTTACTTGTTTACAAATCACTTCCAAATCTACCTGTCCTTTTGGCTCCCACACTGTCAGGGACATCAGGGCACCATCCTCTGCTGCTGCCTGCCACGGTCATTTCCCAACTGGTCTCCTCCCACGCCCACCACTTTCCAACCCTGTCACAAGTACCACAGAGGAAGCTCCTTAATCTGTTCTTAAAGACCATGGTCACTCTGGGACTCAGGGCCCCTTAGATTCCAGTCTATCTTTGTCCCTGTAGGTCCTGCCACACCCTTCTACACACCTATTTCAACCCCAGGAACTGTTCCCACTGGTCCTGACACAAAACCCTTCTGTGCTCATGTCTTTCCATCCCCTCCCACTGTAGAGAGGGTCCTGCCCTGCTTCATGGCTCAGGGTCCCTGCACTGCTACCCCGACACCCCCAGGTGGATCCAAGTGCTTTCTCTGTTGTGACATATGGCTTGGGCCACATGAAGAATGGGTCACCAAGAAGACCTATATCATAATTGCCCTTTTGCAATTTCCCATGAAATTATCTTAGCAATCTGTATTCTACACACCCCTCAGTGGTGCTTAGTACAAAAGTGCCTGGTCCACTCAGTAAATGTTTGTGGAATGCTTAAAAACAGTCCTCACAGGAAAGCAAAGCCAGGAAAAAGACCCAAGCAGCAATAACTTAAGAGTTTTCAGACCACTCCAGCAGAGCACTTTGCTGCAAGCTGGGAGCCCCTTGCCTTGCCACGCCTGCCCTCTTGTGGACACACAGTAAAATTGCATAAGGAAAAAACAGTAAAATGGGAAAATACCAAACCTTAGTAACCGATACGCAACATAAAGGAACCATTAAAAAAGGTAACATATAGTTCCACTTTTAAGTATGGTCAAGTAGACTTCTACCAGACCCAACTCTCCTATGGATAACTATAAACATAAATATTTCAAAAAGATCTGAAGGCACTGGAGAATGAAGAAAAGCAGAAAGATTCTTTCGGGGAGTAAACACAAGGAAGAATAGAATGACAAGGGATGAGTTACCTTTTTTAAAAAAAGATATTAATAGCTTTTAGCCTAGAGCAGGCCAAAGTCAGCACCATGCAGAGTAGCTAAGACTGCAATGGGAAATCCAATCTTTCTGGTATGATGAACCGAAAGACAAGAGTTGGAGGAAATCACAGCCAATGGGAAGTGAGGAAGCAATCCCACAAAGAAAGGAGCCTGAGAAGGAGACTATATAAACTCTGTCCAAATCTCTGACTCACCCCTGAACCACACGTAAATGCCACAGGCTCAAAGCAACTCAGGTAAGAATACAAAAACTGAACTGAGATTTCAACTGCTGCCCAAGTTTGAGTTCAATTTACTTGCCTGTTAAACACATCAGTACTTTACAGATGAAATCTAACAGAGTCCAGAATCTCTACAATGTGACATTTACAATGTCAAGGATAAAATCTAAAATTACTAGACATGAAGAATCAGGAAAATGTAACCCATTCTTAAAAGACAACAGAGACCTTCAAGACAGCAAGGATTTCAAAGCAGCTATTACAACTATATTCAAGAAGACAAACGGAGAAGGAAAGAAGATTGAAAAAAATGAACAGAGCTGCAGAGACCAAGGGACAATAACAAAAAGTCTATCACAGGTCCGGGCGTCACCACGCCTGTAATCCTAACACTCTGGGAGGCTGAGGCAGGAGGCTCGCTTGAGGCCAGGAGTTCAAGACCAGCCTAGGCAATAGTGAGACCCCCATCTCTACAAAAAAGAAAAAAAGGAAAAAAAAAACAAGAAAAAGTCTATCACATGCAAGATTAGAATCCCAGGAGGAGAAGAAAAAAACAGTAGAAAAAAATTTGATGAAACAATGGCCAAAATTTCCCTAAATTTGGTGAACGACATAAACTTAGAGAGTCAAAGAATACTGAACAGTATAGTATAAAGAAAACCACTTCAAAGCAAAATGTCAAAATGCTGGAAACCAAGATAAAGAAAAAAATCTTGAAAGCAACCTCAGAAAAATGACACATTACAACTGGAATTACCACAGACTTCTCAACAGAGACTACAGTGGCCAGATTATTGTTGTAGGGCATTTGCAAAGAGCTGAAAGGAGGAAAAAAAAACTGTTAATTCAGAATTCTACTCACTGAAAGAAAGGCAAAGGTGGAAATATGAAGACCAATTAGACCAATATATTCAATGAAAATATCCTTCAAGAATGGAAAAAAGCCATTTCTGATAAAAAGAAAATTAAGCGCAATGGAAATAGTAAATATCTGGGTAAATATAAAAAACTTTTCCTCTTATTAAGGCAAAAATACCTTATTACCTTGTGGGTTTTATAATGTACGTAAATATAAAACATATGTATTATATCTATAGTACAAAAGACAGTAATGAGGACGTTATATAAAGTGGTAGCAATACTGTGATCCCCAGAAAAACCATTTCATAAGAAAGAGGTAAGGTTAAAAAGCCGTAGTTAAAATGGAATTCTAAAAAATATTCAGACAGCCAAAATTTGGAAACGGCACAGATATTCATCAATAGGAAAATGGATAAACTGTGGTAAACAGGCAGCCGTTGCTTTGCATGGTTCTGATATGCACAATTTCATCTGCGGTGGCTCAAACAGTGCCCCCCTCCCCCAAATCGGTCCAAATCCTAAACCCTGGGACCTCTGAATGAGATCTAATTTGGAAAAATGGTCTTTGCAGATACATTTAAATTAAAGATCTAGAGATGAGATCATCCTGGATAACGAGTGGGCCCTAAATCCAACAGTAACCTGTCCTGTGAGACCCAGGGGTCGGGGGTGGCACACAGGGAGGAAGCCGCGTGGAGACAGAGGCAGCGACTGCAGTGAGGCTGCCACAGTGGCCACCAGACGCTGAGAGACGCACGAACATTTCCCTCAGACCCTCCAGGAGCCAACCCTGCCCACCCCATGATTTGGGACTACTAACCCCCAGAACCGTGAGTGTACATTTCTGCTGTTTTGAGACACCCAGCCTATGGTAATTTGTCACAGCAGCCCTCAGAAACAAACACACCATTGCTTAGTTACTAATACTTATCCTCCAACAACACAGTTCAAATTCTGATGACCACGATACATCAACTGTAACTGCATGAGGCACAAAGTACGCTCTCAGCTCTTCACTCCAATCCCTACCTAAACGAATGCGCGTCATGATCGTGACCAACCATGTCATGTTCTTCCAAAGCTGTCGCTGACTGGTCACTGCGCACCTGCTATTCATTCACATGTGGATGACAGAGCGGAGAGCTGTGCTGCCTGTTTGCCAGTGACAAACCCACAAGACATTTTACAAAAACAGACAATTGAAAGTAAATTGGCTGATACGGACGAAAGTGCAGCAAGGAAATCCCAAGTGTTAAGGCTGCAAGTGAAAGTCAAATGCGCCCCTCTTCTCTCGCACACCTGCACCACAACAAACCCAGCGACAGCTCTTCAAACAGACCCGGAACTTGACTCCTCACCGCCCCCACTCCTACTGCCCCGGCCCAAGCCACTGTCACAGCTCGCCTGGGTCACTGCAGTGGGCAAATCCATCTCCCTGTTTCCGCCTTGGCCTCCTCTTTCAATATAGTCAACAGACCAGCCAGAGTGATCCTTTTAGTGTATCAATCAGATCCTGTCACTTCTCTGATCAAAACCCTACGATGGGCCAGGCACGGTGGCTCACGCCTATAATCCTAGCACTCCGGGAGGCCAAGGTGGGAGAATCCCTTGAGGTTAGGAGTTGGAGACCAGCCTGAGCAAGAGCAAGATCCTGTCTCTACTAAAAATAGAAAAAATTAGCTGGTTTGACTAAAAGTAGAAAAAATTAGCCAGGCATGGTGGCGTGGGCTTGTAGGCCCAGCTACTCGGGAGGCTGAGGCAGGAGGATCACTTGAGCCCAGGAGTGTAAGGTTGCAGTGAGCTATGATGACACCACTGCACTCCAGCCTGGGCAATAGAGCGAGACTCCATCTCAAAAACAAAAAAACAAACAAAAAAACCCCACCAAAAACCCCTATAATGGTTTCTCACCCTCATTCACAATGAGAAGCCTCATCCCCCAGTGACCTACAAAGCTCTACAGAGCAGCCCCCATCCCACCCTCTCCCCCAGCTACTCCTCGCCGTGCTGCAAACAAGCCAGACATGCTTCTGCCTTACTGTCTTTGCAGTGATTGTTCCCTCCAGCTGGAATGTCCCCCTTATTCCCATCAATACAGCCAGCTGCCTCACCTGCTCTAGGTCTTTGCTCAAAGGCCATCCACTGAGGCATTCTGGGGTCACCCTCCAGCCCCCGGCTTCACCTCTCACCTGAGCCCTGATCAGCATCTCATATATGTGTCCTTATTTACCTTTTCTGTGCCTTCCTAAGTTATTTCCTTCACTAGGCTGTGCGCCGTGTGAGGGCTGGGACTGCGGTCTGCGAGCTCCAGTGCTGCATCCCCAGCACTGGAAAAAGCCTTATATAGGAGAGCCTCGATAGGTAATCGCTGACCGAATGAATGACCACAGGTGCCACGCTGACTTTAGCCAGAAACCAGGGTTCCTAGGGAACACTGCTCAGCTCAGGAACTAAACAAGTCCATGTCACCATGTCCTTGCTCATCTCTGCATCCCAGAGCCCAGGATGGTGCCTGAGAGAAGGAATAAGCTCCAAGTGGCCTCAGGCTCCCAAGAGCACATTCCTGGGAGGGAAGGGGAGACGGGAAGGTGAGACCACAGACACACAGCAGAGCCAGGCAGAACCAGCACCAGGAAAGTGTTTGAACTCAAAGCACTTACCCCATCCCCTGTTTGAAGGCTTCGATCAATTCGTTCTTTTTATTCTGATCTTCCACCCAATACACACTTGGAATCACGAACTCTGATATCACACGGCATTCTGGACAAGCCCTGAAATAAGAATCAGGTTAGTGAGGCAGCGATCATGCTATGAGTCCTATGCACACTCCACTGCTAATCCTTGCTCAAGTGCATGACCACGACAGGCATTTCCCTGACCAGAAATTCCAAAAGATACAATCACAATCATCTGAGAACCTTATTTATACTAAATAAGAGTTGAGAAAACAGAGTTTTCTCAACAATGAAAAGACAGATAACCCAATATAAAAATGAGCAAAAATTTGAGTAGGCATTTCCCTAAAATGGCCAATAAGCACATAATACGATGCTCAGTATCATTAATTATCAGGTAAATGCAAATTAAGACCACAGTAAGATAGCACTGCACACCCACAAGGATAGCTAAAATCACAAATAAAGACAAAGTAAGTGTCAGCGAGGTGGTGGGAAATCAGAACCCTCGTGTACTGCTGGTGGGAATGCAAAATAATGCAGCCAGTTTGGAAAATGTGGAGTTACCATAAAAGCCAGCAATCCCACTCCTAGGCGTGCACCCAAGAGAAACAAAAACGTATGTCCACCAAAAATCTTGTACATAAATATTTGCAGCAGTATTATTCGTAACAGCTAAAAAGTGGAAACAACCCAGATGTCAGCCAGCTGACGAAAGGATCAAAATGCTGGGGTCTGCCCGTCCAGCCGTGAGAAAGGAATGAAGCACTGGCACGGGCTGCGACACAGACGGACCTTGAAGACGTCGGGCCAAGTGAAAGCAAACAAAAGGCCACATTTATATGATTTCATTTCTATGGTATATCCAGAATAGGCAAGTCTGTAGAGACAGAAACTAGATTCAATTTGCGATGTACTAAACTGTGCACTTTTCTCTCAATGAAGCTGTTTGTTATTTTACCACATGAACGTGCGACTTTAGCAGGTTACCCGACTTCTCTGTGCCTGTTTCCTTATCTATAAAATGAGGAGTGAGGAGGCGATCATGACATCAGAAAATGATCTGAGCTGATGGCTGTGCAGAGCTCCTAACAGCGCAACGCACACAGTCGCCTCTCGAGATGAGTGAGCGCGGCCCCCGTCCTGCTGGAGAGTTGAGTCCCACGCTGGCTACGTGGAGCACATCCCACACACCCCCGGCTTCATGCAAACTGTTTTACAGGCATTATTCCATTTAATCTTCAAATAACCCTATTTTTTTAGATGAAAACAAATGAAGCTCAAAAAGGTTAACGGGCGATTGGCCTAAGGGCAGACTGCTAGTTCCTGCTAGCCCTGGATGAGAATGCAAGGACCCTGCTGGGTTTTCCCAGCGCCCTGAAGCTTGGTAGGAATTGTTACCATCTCTTACAGGACAAGGCACTTGGGTTCAGGAAGGAAAAGTGACTTGCTAAGTTTGTGCAGCTGCGGGGTCCAGGACTCACCACTTACTCTGCATCTGAACACCTCTTGAGGCAACGAAAGGCTTAAAAGTGGATGGAAGAAGGTCTCAAATCTAACATTCTCCCCAGCTCCTGTAGCTAAGACCCCTGGCCGTACTTACTTGATGATTAGGTTTTCAAACTCCGTGGCACACCGCCACTGCCGGATGCAGGACAAGCAGTACGTGTGGTTGCAGTTGGAGAGGATCCCAAACCTCCTCTCAGAGGCGGAGGCCTTCTCAAGGATCACTTCCATGCAGATGCTGCACACTTTATCCTGACTCGCCTGGAAGGCAAAGGCCTTTTCCATCTCGTGTTCGAATGTGGACATGCAGATCTGAAGTACAGAGAGAGGAGGGAAACTCAGGTTCCGGCCACCGAGAACCTTGGAGTAGCTGCAGCCACAGCGCCACAGCCGAGATTGGGAGGGAGCACCGACAGCAGCTGCTGTGAGCAGGGCCCAGCATCTCCTGGATTCAGGACATCGAGATCTCTCTCAGACCATAAAAGGAACTCAAACTATCATTGGTCCAGCCCCTTGCTTTCCTAACACGACATGGTCACCTCCAGTTTAGAGCCGAGACCATGGAGATCCAAGACAGTTAAGAGAACTGCTCTGGGGCTGCAGAGTCCATAAGCACCAGGACCCTGGCCCCCAGCTCTTCTGGGCACTGCCCTCCCCCACTCCGAGCCACACCAGTGTCAGAAACGCTGACTCTTCCTTAGTGAGGCTCGAGGCTGGCAGCATGGAGTCATACGTAAGCAGTACCACCCTCTCCCCAGGAAAACGATTTAGTGAATTTGTTCATTCACTAGGCACACCTTGAATTCCGGCTATGTGCTGGCATTTGACCGAATGCAGGTCCTGACCCTTGGGAGCTCAGTGTGCCCAGATGTGGCACAAGCCCTCGCTCACAGCACAGAGACCTCACACGTGCTCGAAGCAGAAAGCTCTAAGCTTCTGCTCCCCAGGAAGACAATGGAGAGTGGCTCCTCCCCCAGCCCTGCTGTGGGGTCAGCACTGATCTAGGAATACACCAGGCAACCCTCCCCAGAGAGGGAGCCCTTTTCTACCGTGGGTCCTACACCATTTGGTCCCTTCTCAGTATTGAGCCTAATTTGAAGTAACTTGGTCTCCTGATGCCGTAGCTAGGAGCTTCTCCCCATACCAGCTTCACACCCCGTAAGTGCACAGAGCCCAGCCTAAGGCAGAGCCTCCCCACACAATACGGACACGAATAATCTTAAAGGGCCCTTCCAGCACTTGGCTCCTCAAATCTTCCACAACTCAGCCTGGATGAATCCCAGCCACAATGCATA